GCATCCTTTTTTTTTCTGTGATATCACACTATCTTTTTTTGTAGTAATTGTAACCTGTAGCACACTATGTAAAGTTCTCAGAAATTAACTATAGAATATGCTTCGATTTCTTATTATTCTGTTTCCTTATTGTCATTCTCATAAAATCAATCCAAGTGATAACTGGAATGTCTAGAAACAGCCAGAATTTAATCTGGAGGAATTACACACAAGTATAACAGTCCTGGAAGAGTATCTGCTCAAAGGAGCTATGCATCACTACAGAGAATACAATGTTCTGTGCTTGAAGCTTTGGCATATATCTGCAAGATTATTCTAATTTCAGTGTAGAAATCTGACACTGTGGAATACGGCTTGGAAATGTGCATATTATAAAACTTAAAAAAAAAAACCCTACACAATTTGAACTTAATTGAAAATACTTTCATTTTTTGGCAAACCATACTGTAGATGTTTACATTGCATTCAATAAATATTAGCCATAAACCCTACTCTAACTCCAGATTTTGCTAGGCCCTAAATTTTCAGAAAATCCAGTTGTCATCCCAAATTCTGTACCCAATCTCAGAACCATTTAGGTAGGGAAGTCTTCAGTGGTGCAGCAACACAAGGCCAAAACTGCCTTGGAGGCACTTGGTCTCAAGTGTGCCACAGGTCCTGTTTTCCTGTGGATCCCACGGTTTCAGGATATCCAGGAGGTTTGTAGGTAAAGCTTGTTAAACCTTAGAAGAATACAAAGGATATTTTATAAAGCTTCCCTTAAAGGATTTTTTTCAAACCACATGGATGTTACTGGATAGGGATTTAGTCTATCCAAATAAAATCAGTTGCACTTTTCAGTACAAAAGCACAAATTTATCAAGTGGCTCAGCTGCAATGTGTTCGAGGTTCCTTGACATTGAAAGGTTGGATCAGATGATCTTTTGAACAGCCTGGGCTATTCTATCATTCCATAACAGGGCAACATGATTTTACATGGAATTACATTTTTTGCATTCTTGATGCTTTATTATATCTTTCAAAATAAAAGAATATAATCTGGACTTTATTGTTGAAAGAATGAAATTGCTTGACTGACACATGATAGTGAAACAATTACATTAGAAGCTCTGGCTCTTTTATTTCTCCTTCACTCAGAAAAGAGCAAAAAAACCCCTGGATTTGTTCTGAACAAAATTGCAATACTGCAGGCTAAAACTTTCCTTCTCAATCTAAAAACTTTCCTTCTCAATTTAAATTCATTTTAAATTGTTATGCTTTACAAACTTCCAAATGGGATTCTAATTGTTGACAGACATTTTACATTACATGTGTCTATCACTTTGATTTAATATGCATTTTCAATGAAATTTAAAAAAGGCCTCTAAGGTGGCAATTTAACAGCAAGACATGCTGTGAATTTTAGATATAAAAAATATCTAGTTTTCAAGGATTTTTTGTACATGTGAAAATGGCCCTCCAGAGAAAAAAATAAAAAAAATTGGAGACTGTCTGTATGGCTGAATTATCAGAAGCTAAATATCTCCAAGAACATTACCTACTGTTTTATTCAATCACAGTCATCAGAGGCAAATCAGATTTTACATTTATGAAGCATTTCAATGGTGCACTTCAAAAAGTGTTAGCCATGAAAGAAATAGAATGTATTTGGAAATCCTATGTCTGGTTTATTACATCCCTGATTTAATTTGCTTCTACAGAAAACCCACATTGAAATGTCTCTAAGTAATACATACTTGTTGTCAACTTTGATAAGAGACATTTGAAAGGAATTCTCTGGAAGATAAGAGCAAAGCAACTTTTTCTGTGTCCCTAAAAGAGTGGAAACCAGCCCTAGGAGAGCATACAAGCTGCAGCAGAGACCTCTTCTATATCAAGTCTACTTTTGAAATCATCAGAACTGTAGTTAATGTATAAAGCCTAAGCTACAGACATTGACAGCACAGTGGGAACAACTCTGCATCTTTAACTTGGAATTTCTAAAACAAAATATTAGCTGCTTTTAAATACTTGCATTTTCTTCATGACTTGAATACAAACATCTTGGCTTTGGCTTATTTTATATAAATAGACTTAGATCATCTTGTTTTAGTGGTCCTGCAGGGTGTCCCAAAACCTACACTTGATGGCAAGAGTAAACATTCATTAAACTTCAAAGGCTGCCAAAAAGTCTAGTTATTTTGATTTAGGGGAATAATTTAAATTAATCCCTATGTTTGTGTAGAAAATATGCAATGTAATCCATTTCTCTGTGTCCAGCTTCAAGTCACACTGGAAAAAAAAAATATTGCTTTATTAATGTTTCCTGTTTTGAAAAACCGGAGAAAAAATTTAAGATTTCATATATTTTTTAAGAATTCTGTCTTAGTGACATTGAGTAACAAATATTATAATACACAACTGTGTAGTTATATCTCCACATAACTGCTGTTAAACTAACACACACAATGGACTTCTGCAATGGGAGTAGTAAAACCAGATTTTATGTTTGTTTGTATATATATATATATATATATAAATAATCCTTTTTTAACAAAAGAGTCAATTACTCTTTTTTTGAATGGCTTTCTGCCTTAGCACCCCAACTCAGCTGATGCTGCTGTGCTACAGAAAACTCACAGTCACCTTTCTAACACATCTTCCTTTTTTTGCTGAACCCCTCTTCAAATTCAGGAGAAACTTTAGTAGGATGGTTTAAAATTATTTTTTACTTTAAAATGAATCCACTCTTCAATCAAAGAAGCATGTACAGCATACTGTGTCAGAGGCACACTGAGGAAAAAAATAAAAAGAGGGAGAAGCTCTGCTATTGTAAATCACTGTAATGCCACTGAGGCCAATTTAGACTCACTGAGGTTGTGGCCTAATATTTGTGCTGAAATGTTGCAGCTATAGCTGTATCCCTGAGCTGTATAAATATTTGTTGAAAGCTGACTGTTAGGGTGCAAGGGGTGGATTGCTCATCAGCAAATAGTGAGGACCCTTGTCTCTTCACCTTTCTTAAGGAAACCTTCCACTTTTTGGGGGGGGGTGGGAATTTTGCCTGAGTACATATATGATCCTTCTCACTTTGTGCCTGGATTATAGTGTGTGCACTGAAACGGTAATTTTAATCTGGACTTTTGAACTTGCACCCGTCTGACTGTCCAGCGCTGATTCATGCCATGTACTGTATATGAATGACCAGCAATGTTTACAAAATGAATTAGCTTGACTCCAACTCTCCAGCCAGAAAGTAATCAAAGTGAAGAGCCAAGCTATTTCTGAAATTCCAGCTTCCCCAGCTAGAAACTGCATGCTCTGTCTTGCTAGTCAGCATATTAATGTAAAATGTACATGTTCTATACTGCAGGACAATTAATAACAGCAGTGATTCCGAGCAGTCTACAGACATTAACTATTCCACCCCCAAACTGCTCTTGTGTGGTGGGCAAATCTAGCTGCAGCATATGGTACAGACACAGAAAATATCTATCAGTAAGTGATTATTCTACAAGTTGCAGTGTGGTTCTTTTTGTTCTTTCTTCTCCTCCTATATTAAATTCCAGTTAACATTTTATTTCACTTCTTTCAAAGTCAATACAGGTATTCACAGACATATATTCAGGAATCCTCTTATGCAAATATTTTTAGTAGGGCTATTCATAACTGGTATCCCTAAAGTCTTGGAAGCTCTGGTTTATTTTCTCATCAACCATCCTAATTTAAACATTCAGCAACAACAGAGGTACCTTCAAAATAGTCTCATCCTATAAAACCCATCAGCCTTTGCCAGATTTAACATAAAAAATTATTATGAAAGAAAACAATGTTACTTAAGCATTTTGTTTGGGATACTCTGAAACTCAAAATGTATCACTGAAATTTTCCTCTGAAAATGAGCCTCCTAATCTGAAAAGCCCACTTCATATAAAGCTGGAGATGTCTCAGAGGCAAATTGTTTGCTCCTGTAGATGGTTAGAGCTCCACAGAGGGAGGATATGAAATAAGGCTCTGTTGATTTTACAGCAGAGCATCTGAACCACTTCCCCTGCCCTCATCAGTTAAAGCAAAATTAAAAGAAAAATAAACCTCAATTAGCATGTGAGCACTTAATTTGATGCAAATTGGCATCACTCCACTGGATATCTGACTTAAGCAGAGTTATAACAGGACTTACCACCAAGAAGATCTGGGCCAGGGTATTTTAATGGGTGGGTGGGTGAGAACCTGATTCTTCATCCTTATTCAGGCTGAAAACCACGAATGCACTACAGAGCTATAGATCAGTCAACAAATTGATTGTTTGCAGGGAGGGAGGCTAAAGTGGCTCAGTTATTCCAAAATTAGCAACTGCTAGTGTGGTGTATAGCTCAGGCCAAATGACAAGTGACCATGATGCTGCCCATCACCTCCCCATCTATATCATAGGTGCATCCAGCCCCTGTTGACTTTTATTTCCAGAATAAACTTGCAAATGCAGTAGAGGTAAAGATGAATAACATCTGAATAAAATAGCTTGGCAGGATATCTTTAACATTACCTAAAAATCAGAGGTTAATAAATAGTTAAATTTAGCTGTAGCTTCTCTTAAGTAGTTTGAACATAAGTCAATATTTTCGTCTTTTGTTGTCTCAGGGTTTCTACAGGAGCAGAGAGAATTTCATCAATGATGTTTCTACACTTTATAGCAGTATGCCTTTGTACTATTATCCATCTGTACCCTTATCTAACATGTTATCAGCTGTATGAAAATAACTATCAGTGCCGTCAGCCCACAGCAAGTATCAATAGGAAGAATGACAGTGGCTAGTTTGCACACTTGAAATGGTTTATTTGTTGCAATCCTGTGCACAAGATATTTATCAGTAAGCACCAGACAGCCATGCAGAAGAAGGAGCCTTAATTCTGTCTGAGACAGCCTCTTATTGCTATTGATAGTTAGCATCAGTGTCCAGTCTGAGAAATGGAAGTGCTGCAGGCAACTTCAGTCAAGACACCCTATTGATCTACTGCTTCCTCTGCGTCCCTGCAGCTAGAGAAGAAAAATAAAAAGGGGAGGAAAAGCTTGCTGTATAAGGGGCAATGCAGCAGTCTATGACTTGCCATCATTCAAAGGGGTGTGTATGTGCATGGATATTCCTGATATTCAGTACCTTAGACAACTGTAAATCACATGCACAGCCATGATAAATATAAATGTCAATGTGCTGAAAATGTCCTTTATATAAGAGGTGTCACTAGAACTACAGTTTTAGCATGAAACATTTTTGCCGCTTTTTATTTTTCATTGACTTATTGTGCCTCTGTTATATCCTGTCTAACACAATCAATCTAAAGCATAATATCTGAGAGTCCTATTCATAAATAATACATATTTGGGTCATTTTCATTTGTATTCTACAATGAAGATTTACAAGCCAGAAACAAAACAAGAAACAATGTGTGGAATGCTCTTATTCAGTGGATAAGAATATATTACTGTGATCAATTAATCTGCTTTTCTCTGCATTAGGTGGACATCTTTATGGTACATCCATAAGGGTTTATAACTTGGGAGAGACAGAATCAGCTCTAAGGCTCTAACATAAAATGCCTGTACTCAGAAAAGAGAAACTTTTCCAAAGTTTTTTGTTTGTTTGGTTTTTGGTTTTGTTTTTGTTGGTTTTTTTTTTTTTAATGGGAAATGTGTTAATTTTGGCCAACTCAATCACAGCAATAACCCATCTGTGAACATAGTATATTCCTCTGCCCTATATATTACCTCTCATGTTAAATGAAACAAAAAATTGACTACAATAATTCTGGGGGTTTCTACAGTGCCATTCATGCAAAGATAGTCACATTTTACTACAAACCACACAAATTCATTCTACAGGAGGGAACACTGACACACAGAAAGGTCTCAGCTCAGTTTTCTCACGCGGAAGTTATTAGGCAAAATTAAGTAAAATAAAATCTGTGCACATAAATTGCCAGAGCAACAAGAAAGGTGAAAGGAAGACTTCAGTTGGCATTAGTATACAGTATAAGAAACTACAGTCTCTGGTGCAGACACCAGCAGGGCTGGTATTCCCAGGATGGGCCATGTCAGAGGAGCAGCAGTGATGGCCCAGATACTTATCACTTTTGCCTGCACAGAAGAAGCAAAACTTAGGGCTTGGTGAGTTAAAATCAGCCAGAGCTACTTTAGGAAGGAAAGTCAGAATATGCAAGAACTTTGCAGGCAATATAAACTGTTGGAGAAAAGTAGGGGTGAATGGAGGGAGTGTGGACTAGGCTGGTCACTGTGACAGACCCCTCCCATTTTCCTCAAGCCCCCAGAGATGAAGGCTGTGCCGTGCTCAGGGCTTTGGTGCTCAGGGCTTTGGACTCTGGTCCTCAGAGTGGGGTTTTTGTATTAGCTTTTCAACTCTGGAAATTTGCTACAAGTGCATCTCAGATAAAAATTGAAATGAGTTTTGCAACTATGGCAAAAAAGCAATTTTACATTTCATAGGCCTTTTAAAACCCTTTTCAATAGAAAATAAAAATAACAGTAAGGGGGGAAAAAAGGCTACATTTCCATTCCCGATTTTATAGTTTGACGTTGCAGATGTTTCTGGGTCAGAGGTCAACATGTCTTTAGGTGTCAAAAGATGCAATAACCTGAGTCAAAAATGGCCCAGTCCCCAGAACTGTGACTGTGTGCCAGAATATCCCCACCTCAGAAGCTTGCTGGCAGCAATGTGCTCCAGGTGTCTTACACTATGCAGACCTGGTAGTCATTTTAATATTTTCCATGCTCATGTAAATGGACTTGATGTGTGTTCATCAAATGTGGGAAAATCCCATAGAATTGTGTGCCATCTGTTTATAGGTAAAAGGTCTGCTTTGCTGACAATTTAGTGCAAAATCAGAACACAGAATGAAAGCAAGTACGCTTTTGTTCTGGCTTGGTTTTATAAATCTGAGGCTTAATGTCATATCAAAACCCTAACAAAGTTCAAAGGTTCATTCTGTTTGGAGAGCAGTATTGTCCTTCTCAGATGTATGGATATTACCTGAGCCCTGTGGAGCTCTTAAATCTGCACCACGTGGCTACAACTTGCAACCTAATGAAACCCTGAGCACACACAGGAGCCAGCAGGACATGGAGAGGGTGCAAGGGCCACAGCTTGGGCAGCTGGATGTCTGCACTGGTGCCCTGGACCAGAAGCCTCCATGAAACACTAGCTGACAGCATTCCAACACTTATGGTTGGCCTCAAGTGAGGAACTCAAGCTGAAGCAAAAACGGAAAGGCTTTTTTTGAAAAAGTATCACCTTATTTTATTTAGCACTCAATACTGCATTTGCTTTTTTGTTAGAATTAAAGCCAGGTTTAATTCAATTAATATTAATCTCGATCAAAGTGTCCATCTTTATTATTTTGGTCTGTTTTAAATGAGACTGTTGGACAGAAGGCAGTTATGACTGAGGTCCTGAAAGCAGCTCTGATATTAAAAGGAAGGCTATGATCACAGTGATTTTCAGCGTCAGTTGACAGACATTGACCAGTCATCAGAAGAGGAATTTGAGACCTTTCTTATCCTCCATTCCTTGTGGAACTTCCACTTCTACCTTTCCACAGAGAACTGATAAACAGACCTGGGACATTTATACCTGAATATAAGTCAGATGTTGTCAGGAGATGATGTCAAAGACTGTTGCAAAGGTAGGTCAGTGTATCTCCACTCTACTGCTTTTCACAGGCTTAACCCTGCTCCTTATGGCCCAATATAGATATTTTAACCTTGCCACCAGCATTGTACTGAGGTGTAAAAGTTGAGAAAGAGAGTCTGAAAGTGCCTATGGTCAGTTAATTGGGAAAACAACCAGTTCCCCACAGTATAATCTACCCCATTTGCCAAAAGAGACAAGTTTTATACGGTCAATCAGAGAAGTGCAACTCCTCCAGTAATGTGGCCAAGACATTTACTTTGAAAATTGAGGAATCTTATTTTCAAGGTCAGTCTGAGGTTTCCTGGGTTCAGACTAAAACACTTTGTAGGGCCAAAGAAATATTTACTGGGTTCTAGGGAGCAGAGAGTAGATGTGTAATTTGAACATATTTCAAGTCAGCCTGGGAGGTCTTTTTGTTTTTATATATTTGTGTCTCCTCAGACAACCTTTTTTTCCTTTTCTTTTTTTTCCTGAGAATTTGGAAGTGAAGAAAATGATGACATTTTTTACCAGTACATTTCAGTTGGGTCACATCCTGCATTGAACCAGAGAAGCTGCATTATTTGCACCCTTTCTAGGATGTATTTCTTTCCAGTGCATCATATGAAACTATATAGTCACATTTTGTCCAAGGGTTGCCATTCCTTGTGTTAAACTAGAAGAAGTTTCTGCATAAAGCAATTTGCTTTATGTGACCTTTGACAGTGGGAGTATTGGGAGAATGACACGTTGTAGGGCTAATTCCAGGTGGAGCTTCTTACACTTTGTAAATTAAGCAGCAGCATTTTACAAATGAGCTCCATGATAAGTAGGTGATCAGAAGATGGGCTACTGTGTAGTGGAGATTAACATCGGAGCATAGGAACTATCACCTAGCCCAGCAATGGCAGTAAAAGGTTAAAAGAAATACTCAATATTATCAATCATATTAAAAAAAAAAAAAAAAGAGAGAACTCCTTACAGCTGCCAAAGGAGCTTGGGAGAATTAATGTGTTGGTGTCAAAAAGACTGAGAACGAGTGAAATAGGACTACAGTGATTGCCAGAATCTTACTTGCCTGGAGAGATAACATTGGACATTCAGTTTAACTAGGCAGGTGCCAAGAATCCTCTTGTGGATGCTATGGAGTGGCTTTCAAATATAAGAATGTACAATGCCCTCCATCGTCTGGTACTTTCTCTGGTTTCAGAGCTGCTCATTAAGCCAGGGAAACCTCCAGTGAGGTGTGATGACCTGAAAACAGGCAGGAGCTAAAGAATCAATGTTTTAAGTAAAACAGCAATTATAAAAAGATCTACAACTCCTTCCATGCAATCAGGTAAATTACCAGGAATGGCATAAAGCACCTAAATTGGAGAAAGAGTGGAGGAAGGGGGAGTGGAGGGGAAAGAAGGTCCCTTGGGCGATACCCGATAGGATGCTTAGTCTGTGTGGAGGGCAAAAGGTTAAGTGAAAATGAGATGAAGGAATGATCAGATATAGTCAGATCAGAGACAGTTAAATAAAGGAAAGTGCTAACCTAAGATAAATGTGAAGAAACACGCTTGTGCTGAGTGTGTTGGTGTAGCTGTTCTTCAGCAGTTCAGGAACAGGAGAGGAAGAATTCCCAGTTCCCAATCCATATCAGTCCTAGCTGAAGTACTTTCCAGCAAAAAACCAAAAGGGATAAGGATACAGGTTTAAGATTCCTCTCTGCTACTCCAATAGTGTAAAAGGATATTAAAGGGCTTCTAATTACATCTACACTTTTTGCAGGTCCCTTTTTACTGCTGGTGTGATATAAAACATCCTTAGTGATGAGAAGGAGAGTCAGGCCTGTGCCATCTTTGATTTTGGACAGTGAGAGAGATGCTGTTTTAAAGTATCAAAACAGAAATACTGAGAATTACTTGAAAGCTCCAAACTTTGTTGGTTGACTAATGATTTCATGGGTCAAAGAGCTCTCATTAGTAGGAGTTTCCATAACAACAAACAACATTTGGTTAAAGAGATGCATAACATAGCAAACAAATGCTTGGAACAGTCTATATAAAACTTCATCAAATATTTTGGTAAATCTCCATTCTTAGCCTACTCAACAAAAAGGGCCTGGGATAACAGATTGCACCAGGAAGCTCAAGAAGTATCTGTACTGACCAAATCTGGAAATGACCACAAATATTTTGTTCAAAACCCTTTGATGTCTTACAGCCTTTAAATGTTTCTAAGAACAGCCTTAAATTCCTAAATGCCAGATAAAAATTCTAACTCTTAGACACATAATTTGGAGCTCAGTAGTTTTTGTGTTTCCTCAGGAGCTTAATTAACATATACAATTACACCTGGGAATTAGGAAATTAGGTGCTAATAACTGGGGAATACCCAAACAGGATTTCACTAAAATAAATTTTAGTGCTCTCAACAATTTGAGTGCTACAACTCTTTGGGGTGAGAAGTAGTTGTGTGCTCTCCACAAAGAGTTTGGTTTGTCACAGAATTCACCAAATCTAGCTGAACTACTGTTGAGCAATACTTCTCAAGGTAGCTACCCTTGCAAACTGCAGATTGAGATGCAGAGTGAAATGCAGATCGAGCTCTGGGTGGGAGCCCCAGACAAGAGGCCGTGAACTACCAGCCTTGGGGATAACAAAGGGACAGAGATGGGTGACGCCAGCCAGGTGAATGGACACTGAGAGACACAGCAGGAGCCGGGAATTGCCGACCTTTTGGATAAGAAAGGAGATGAAGACGGGTGATGCCAGTGAGGTGGATGGACATGGACACGGGGAGGTGGGGCAGGAGCCGAAGGAAGAGCGAGACTTGCGCACGGGGAGAGTATGAGGGTATAAAAGGTGTAAAGCCCAGGGGTCCCTTGGTTGAGGGTCCTCCTCGGAGGCTCCGGCTCGGACTGTTTCTGTGTTACTGCGCCGTGAGTAAATGGTTTTATGGAACTAGACATCTGAAACTGCAGTGGGAAACCTGGGGTGGAACCGGTAAGGAAGCCTGGTCTGACTGCGTGAGTGGGGTGCGTGGGGAGCCAAGTGGGACCCGCGGAGTCACGGGAGCCGCCGCGGTGAAGGGGCTTCATCCCAGGAGTGCAAGTGTCTGGCCTCGGGAGCGTGGCTGCCAGAGTCTCCTGAATGGTCAGACTGGGTAGTTTCCTTAACACTTCTTAATCGTTGGTACTAACACAGATCCCACATATATTTGTCAACCCTAAGCTACAATGAAAGCAGTCTGAGTCTGTGAATGAGGAGGTCTCAAAATGAAAGACGTGGTTGAAGCATTTTGACCCTATTCAATCAAGGTCAATTTTCCTCTGAATTGTACCTATTTCTTTGTCTAACATTTTAGATACCTTCCAAGTGTCTATCGACAGAGTTTATAAGTGGCATTGCGCAATGAAGAAGAAAGAAAGCTGCTCACAAAACTCCCCCTCTCCCCCATGTGTTAAAAAGCAGAGTTCCAAAGGAAAAGACAAAAGAGTGTTTGGGTCCCAGTTGTATGTGCCTATGGGAAAGGAGTGGTGAAAAGAGGCCAACAGCTCCTGGAAACGGGGAGGGGAGAGCACAAATCAGCTTTATGAGCCAGCAAATGATGGATGGCTAGATGCCAACTGAGAGCAATACATAGAACGGGGTTTGCATTGTTGCGATTATTAAAGGTTATTTTACTTTTAATTTTTGTGGTAGGTGTTCTTACTCCTTCCTTACAGAAACCCTTGATTTTCACTTGCTACATACTTAGATGCACTTGTCATACCCAAAAGGTGATTTCAGTTCTCGGATGCCAGGAAACTTCTCTGCTGATCAAAACACAGCTGCACAGGCTCACTGGATCTATTCATGGGTGCCACAAGACTAGGGTATGTCTGTCTATACCTGTGAAAATAGATATAATTAATATAACAGATATGATACATATATGCAAATCCAGAAGCAAAAAATGACTAATAGTAAGAATGTTTTCGTTTGCCAAACCATATCAAAATATCCGAATCACTAAAGCAGTATTCAGTCCACACTCGGACTACTGCTACTGCAGTGACATCAGCATCCTCTTAGTGTATTTTATTTTACATTGAGCTTTCTTTTTAATGAAAGATTTTAAGGAACACGATTTTTAAAAAATACTTTAATTAGCTTTTTCCAGACTATAACCTCTCTCACCTCGCCTTTAAAAAGCTCTTTCCTTTTTTTCCCACAAGTTGCTTGGACATACGATGTCAGGTCACAGGACTACATGAATTGCTATTCATTGGACTCTGATTTTAGGATTAGAACAAAAAAGGGGCAATTTCTATCTATTTTATATAAAATTCCTTCAGTGTAAGAAAGGGAACAGAATATTTTCTTATAGATAACATTTTTATTAATTACAGGAATGTATATCACCCATTTAGTAACAAATAACAGAGAGGCAATATCTTCAGTATGCTTTATTATATTAATAGATTTTGTATTACAATTTTACCTTCTTCACTTTGACATTTATTTCTCCTTTAATGAGTTAAAATGCCTAGCCAAGAGCTCTTGGCTTTAAGTACGTTCTTACATCAGCATATTAACTGTCACATTCAGGCTAATAGGCTTAACTTATCTGTTCGAGATCTCTGTCAGAAAAAGACCCAAACCCTCCCATTTTAAAAAATTGATGTAAATGGAAACTTCCACTTTAGTGGCCCTGGAAGACAATAATGCTGCTTCATCATCATCCAAACATTCAGTTTTACGGTTTTGCTGCCAAATATCCCAAATATCCGTGATAAGTGTCTCTTCTTGTAATAAAAGATACTGAACAAAAAGCAGTTTAACTGAGATTTTGAAGTCTCGATTTGCAACAGTCCATTCTGAAACCTTCATTTTATTTCCTTTTGTATTGTGCAGGCAAACAATTGTAGCTTTCGTCATGAGCTCAAGCAGTACATTTTAGCAGACTGAGCTTAAGCACATGCAGATGGGTGTAACATCAAATTTTTTTAAAGGATATTATAAAGCCAACTGTAAGCAAATTAATGTAAAAATGAAGGAACATTTTTTTCATAATATTGGGTAATTGCAAGCAAAGTTTCAATGGACCTCAGAATCTCAGAAACTGAGATGAAACAACTGCAGGTTTTGAATACTTTTTAATTCTGACTTAAATCACATTACTATGAATCACCATTATCAATGCAAGGGAAATCATCAATGGAAATATACAGCTGATATGATCTATTTTTAAGAACAGTTTTAGAATCAGTTTCCTCATTAATTATGACCATGTTAATGAGAGGAGAGAAAAAAATTACCTGATAGTTTACCAAGAGTCCTCTCCTTTTCCTCTCTCTTAATCCAAACCAATTCAGCAGGACTTGGGGTTCTGAAAAAACAGAATTGTGATAGATTTTCTGTATGTACCCTTATTTTTTTCTGCTAGAAGGGTACATACAGTGGTTATCTGTGGATTTACTCTCTGCTCAATGGTGACTCATTGGCTGTTTCTACCTCTCTCAGTGACACAGGTCCAGAGCTCAGAGCTCACAGGAGCCTTGCTGGGTCAAAGGTACCTTTCAGTGTCAGAGAAACTGAACTCACTCCTGAACACAGGGTCCACCGAAGTGTTTCTTTATTCAAGATGCCTTTCAGTGGTATTTCTGACTTCTTTCTTGTGAAACTGGGAGATAGTGGTCATTTGCTTCCCTGTTTGCCTGTACGAGGAAGCAAGAGAAAAAAATAAAAATCTGTTTAAGAGCAAATACCACAAGAGATAATTCCATCTGCCTGCCTGATTTGACATTTTCAACTCAATTTCTCTGTTTCTCTGATGAATGATCCAGCTCTTCCCAGTAATAGGCACTGCTTAAGTGCTGGACATATGCTACAATAATAACAATTACAAATAATTACTCTAATGGGGTGAACGAATAACACCAATTAGTTGGTGTGATGATGTTTCCATGACAAACTCCAGCTTTATGGAGTTGTTCATTTTTAAGTCTAAAAGCTTTCTGATATCCTTTGTCAGGCAACAGGGTGACTTGACCACCTCAATTAATAAATCTGTCTTGCTAGATGCATATAGTCATGGACTGTGCTCCTACTTCAGTGAAAATTTCAGTCAACACCTAGTGCAGAACTAAGTTTAGGCTTAACTGTAAGCACTTAATCATAATGAAGCAGATTTCCTGGTGAATACTTATTAAATAATTTCATTGCCTATATCCTGAGGAAATGTAAAAATAGAAGTGTTGGTGTGCACATGTACTTTGTTACATATTGTCAAATTGAACTGGTTCAGGACAACACTTCAGCCTGTTGTTAACCTCATTAACCTCAGACATCAAATACAATGGACTTGCAGACATGTCTGAACTTAAGCTCAAGTATCATTCAGAATAGAAATGTTTTACTGAACTGAGAGTTAAACTGAGGCATGCTCTTGTTCAACAACAGAGGACAGAGCTTCTTGCTGAAGTAATATTTAGGTCTGTGCAAGAGACTAAAATATTTGATGTCATAATGCTACTCTGGATTTGAATATCTGTGAAGCTAATTCTCAATGTTTTCAGATTTAACTGTTCCTCCCAGCATGGTAATAGATATTACAGTAATATTGAACAACATAAATTAATTGGTATGATTTTTAAAAGCTTTACACAGGTTTAACATTTAAAACATATCACAACAACAATCCTAGTAATTTTCAAGGTCTGCTAAGACCAACAGTTTAATCAACCAGCAAGTCTTTGGTTTGTTGTTGTTGTTGTTTTGTTTTTTGGGGTTTTTTTTGCATTTTGTATGTGATTTTCTTCCTTTCTGCAATTCATTTTGCCTGTACAGAGAAAGGAATTCAAGAATCATGCAGCAGACCATTAGTAAACTTGTCAGGTCTGCTGACACAAAATCCACAGGTCCACTGAAATAACAGGTATCAAGGAGTTTATGACGACTCACATATATCTGCCATATTCTGTCAGGAGGGGTGGATGCTCTTCATCCACTCTGGCATAAAGACACATCAATATAAAATCTGGGCTTACCTCACAATTTACTGCCACACTTTCCACTCTGCAGCTGACCTCTGATAACTCTTTGCTCACAGAGAGAGGAAGTCGGTGGCAATAATGATCCAGAAGTCTTCCAGACCTCATGGGCAATGTTTCCACAGTCAAAGACTCTCAGAGAGAGAGAGAGAGATCAGTGCTTTGTTAAATTAGGGACTTTAAACAGGAAAATGACCAGGGAAGTCACAGCCAAAGGGATGGCAACTGTTTTTGTAAAAGTCCTAACTGGGTCACCAGACATAATGACTGAGTGACCAGAAGTTCTTTCCTGGATATTAACTTACCAAGCTGTTTCTCCATACGCACTTTTTGTAGTCCATGAATTGTTTTCCCAAAGAGCACTCTTATGAGCCATCAGCACTTGGTCGGAGTTGGAGGTCTGGCTGTATAAAAGCTCTCTCACAGTGCTGTACAGTCGTTCTTGCTGCCTCACATCTCTGAACACGCAGTTCAGTGCAGCTGCTCAAGCTCACAACTGTCTCACTTGCTCAGAGAGCTTCTTCACTGATGTTTGAGCAACAGTGATATCACTGCCAGAGTATGTCACTAACATCTTGGAAGCAGAGGAGGAAAGGAGACAGACTTAAAATGCCAAGATGAAATAAAACCGACATGAATATTCTTCTTTTGACAAAAGACTACAGGAGTTTAGAAACGAAGAGTGTCTTATAGGTCCACTGATTTGGTACCTCAGTGAGTTACACCAGTATATGTGGTGTCTTGGAGTATTAAAAATAGGAATCAAACTCCTAGTTAAGTAGTAATAATTAGGTCAGAGAACAGAACCCTGTAGGTACTTCAGCAAGTCAAAATTTTACCCATTTTGTACACACTATACAAAATACTGGACTTTTAAGTTGGGGGGGGGTTGTTTTATTTTCAGGCTCAAGTTTTCAAATAATTGACAAGTTCCTAAATGTGCTTGTAAAAATCCCCAAGTCATGTGCTAGTCAGATAAAAATCTGTTCACTGTAAAAAGGGAAGGGGGAAGGGTGGGGAAGGAAAGGTTTGTTGATAAGTTTGCTATACTATTTAAATGTTTTAACCATGGCCTGGAGCTCAAATCAGCATTCGTGTGAAGTTCCTATTTATTAGAGTATATGAAAAGTATTTAGTAAAACTATATCTTGTTTTTGAAGGAGATGTGCCCCAGTAAATAAGGTGTAAGACTAGATCCATTTCTTAGAAATATGAAAAACGAGTGATAAACACTGTCAGAAACTATGCTTTGTCCCATTTCAAGTTTCTTGAGAACATACTCTTGTTCAAAATAAGTGATTAAATAGCACAGGGGAAAACGGACGAGGGAGAAACCACAAAGGCATTCATCACGCTGAATCTAGGCCCACATCGACTTGTCTAAATCTATATAAAGAAAAAGGCCTGCAAGTGACTCTGAAAGTGATGGGAACCCATGCTTCAAACACGTCTTGAAAGAACGTCGGAAACCTCGTTCCTCTTTTGGCTGTGGTTACAGATGCTTTCTCTGGACTGCGGGCTCACCAGTTTCACTTGTCTGGAGTACTCAAAAATACATTTTCCCCTGGAAGACAGTCTGCATATGCTTACAATAAAACATTAACCAAATCAAATAACTTCCACTTCAGGATAAATACTTCGAAGTAAGTCTGTTAGAGACGCTCATAGTAAATTGCTATTAATTAGTTTTTCCAATCTACTTAGGTTGTACTAATGAACACAATCACTCCTAACATATTTATAAGCAGGATAAATCCTGCCTCTCTCTATATGCCCGTGAAAGGCTCAAGGTAAAATGGATATATTCTGCTGCAGGAACATGTGGGAGCCACTTTAGAACAGGTGGATGATCCTGCTGGTTTTCTGTGTCTCTGAACTCCGCCTGTTCTCACCGCTGGACAGCTGCCCTGGTGCTGGGGCTGCAGGGGAGCAAAGTCTGTAGCTTTCTGGCCACAAAATATGTTAAGTTACATAACATGGAAAGTCTCAGCTCTGCAAAGCCAATGAAACCACATTTTCCTATAAATGTGACTTCCTCTTTTTGCACATTACCCACTTGTAGTGGCTTGTTGGAAATTACATGATAGTATCTCCAGAGATGGGAACTTCTCTTCTTGTGCTTGTGAACATAACCCAACACCGAGAGGTCCCCTGGTGGGACATTTCAGGGTGTTACTGGAAGGGCAGCAGCCATACCAATACCTCTCAGCACCCTCTAGCTAAGTCAAAATACAGAAGTATGAATTAGAATTTTGTCTATACCACAGTTAAAAAACCCCCAAAACTGTTACCTTCAGCAATTTGAAGTCGGTTACTGGAAAATCCCTAGATACAGCGGAGCAAAGCTCCTGGCAGTTTGCTTCACCAAGTCCTGAATAGTGCTGAAATGCAACTCAATTATTTTTAGAAATTATCTCCCCTATTTTTGTGTAATTTTCTTAACAGCTTTAAATACCTAAAGAAGTACTGCAACAGACCACAAGACACAGATCTGAGAAACCTGCATGCATTGCATAAAACATATGATTCCACAACTCATTAAGTCTAATTTATGGCATATGTAATTAAGCACCTTTGAATTGAACCTAGGTCTCTAGAGATAATAACACTTACAACTTATATAGGGCTTTTCATCTTCGAAGTGCTTTACAAACGTTAACTAATTAACAACATAATAAGACATGAAAGGCCAAAGTACTTATTCATAGTGCTACATAACCTCTGTATAATTCAGATTTTGATGTTTTTCAATGGAAGAACCAATCTGGGACCACAACAAGGATTTACTAGTGGTTCCCTCCACAATCAGAACCATGACTTTGTACACATCCTATCTCTGAATTCCGAGTCCTTCCCTTCTCTGCTATTTAATGCTGCATCAGAAGAAAACAGCTCCCAAATGTGAAGGAAAGTATGGAAAAGGATAGTTCACAGCAGCTTATGAGGGTGTTTGAGTTTTCAGGGCTTTGCAGATAGAAAAACAGGGCCCAATGCAGGAAGGAGCTCCTGGAGAATTCACTGCACAAGATTTCTGGTACCATCTGAGTCCATGTCCTTCCCAAGGTAAATCTAATAATAGTGGCACGAAGTCTCTAGAGATTGGCTAAAAGATCAGGGAGAAAACCTTCAGCTCAAACACATTTTCCTGTAAAACCTACAATGTTATTTTGCTTAATTCCTGCTCTTCTGAAAAGTCTGCAGTATTTGACCAGTGTGTTTGTTACTTTTTGAGTTTTTTTCTATTGCTTGGTCTAATTTACACACAGGTCTCTCGAGACAGTGTATCTTGAGACAGCCTTATTATCTGAATGAATGTTTTCTTGGTGATAGCAGTGTTGCAGATGTTATATCAGGTTACTTGAATCCCTACTGAAAGTCACTAATGCAGAAAGATGACGGATAAAATAAAAGGGGAGCAATTAATACTGATAGTTTTAGTGACCAGTCCTTCAGACATCAGCCTGTGCCAGTGATCATTTTCAGGAGCTCAGAATGCTGGCCATTGTCTGTGCACATGCTGTGTTTAAGCATCACCTGTTCACTGGTGAGAAGGATAATGGCTATCGTGGCAGGATCTCTTGTCTCTCTCCAGACAATGCCTGACTCTGTCCCCTTGAGGATTCTGCTGTGGACCAAAAATTGAGAATTTGAAGACTTGTGAAAAAACATAGCAAGCATGTTAGACAGAACTATGTATATGTACCTGCCTAACTCTGCACACGCAAAAAATAATCTCAGAAACAAACACAAATGACTCAGCAGTAGAGCCCCATCAGAAATTACAGAAAATGAGACATACCATGAACCAGAAATCAATGTGTCTGTGGAGCGAGCAGGCTTCTGTGCTTCCCCACAAACACACGGTCCAGAACAAATCCTGAAAGGTAACAACCTCACAGTAGTAATGCCTACAAGAGATCCTATGATAAACATAGGGTCTAATCAAAGGCATTAAGATTTTTAAATGCAAATGTAGATTAGAACTGTCAAAATGTTTTATCCCTAAAATGTGAATGCTAACCTTCCCATGCTTATTATATAGTGGTACATTTTAAATTGCCTGGAGCAGAGTTGAATAAAGCAAGCATCACAAACACAGTCAAATGGATATTTGAAAGAACTGCTCTTCACAATAGCTGTGTGTCTTTCAAATGTTGACCAATTGATTACCAAAATCAAAGAATACATTTCCCAAATGAGCTTCTGCAAAGCACTCAATAGCAGAAAACAGCATTAAGTTCCACAGAACAGCAGTCTTCTCTAAAATATTTACAAATACAATTTTCTACTGCTTTCCTGGTTTATAGCTTAGGTCTCCACAGATGTAGAATGAAGAATAAAACACTTCTGATAAATCAATAATTTGGTTCAGTTTCAGCATGACAAATTCAGAAAAACAAAGACAGAAAACGATTTGAAATTATCCAAAGGTTTACCTTAAATCTCATGGCAAATCACAGTCCCTCTAATACAACTGCTCAAATGACTTTTAAATCTTTAATAAACAAAATTATGGCAAAATATATAAAATACTCTCTAATTGCAAACCACGTGTGAACATTCTTATTTCATAAGGCTCTTGATTTTTGCTTTCCTTAGCAATAAGACAGATCTATTTGCACTTGTCTGTCCCTTTGGAATTTCCTTTCCTCTCAACATTGCCTGTAAGAGGAGCAGTGTATGGTCCTTAGAAGGGTACGTAAAGGTGAAATGCTCAGCCTGCTTTTGAGCTTGTCTCAGGCAGTTACTCTTTGCTCAGCAGAGGCCTCTGCTGAGGTAACCACAGAGAGCACTCAGGGGTATTTTCCAGCTTCTCCCCACGCTGGGACAGATCTTATTGAGAATGACTAAATATTAGCCATAACTACCAGTGTTCTGTCCATCTGCCACCTCCAGTGAGCTGGTTTCTGCTGCTGCCACGATGCTGTACTTGCATTGTTTTCCTTTCCTCTGTCAGTCATCTTTGGAGAACAAGTGCCCCCCAAATGCACACGGTTTTCATCTAGTGACTTTAACCTGAAAAAACAGGAAGAAAAAAGGAAAACTAACTTTCAACCTGAAACAAACCCATCACTTACTTGAGCTTCCTTACATTTTATCTTCCTTCTAAAGGGAGGTTTTCTTGTACCACCTCTTGCAGTTGCCTCATCTACTGTGCTGTCCTTACCA